GATACCCATCTATCTTTGATATCTTAGGAGTAGCATTGTCTGGAATCAGGACAATAGATCAGATGAGCTATGCTTTATTCTAATTATTATGTCATGGCCCAATAAAAAGTTACATAATTCAAATAAGCTGTTTTGAGACATAAAGTAACATTGGAAAGACATAATCATGTGGCCACCTGTAGACCTTACACATCTTACAGTGCTTGACACTTGAATGGGTTCCAAAAGAGTAACACAGCCAGCACTGGTAGAAATTATCTGAGAGGAAAAAAGCAAGCTGGAATATTCCCATGCATGTATCACAGAAGGACATGTACAGAGGTATTTCTGTAGCTTCCAGGTGTGAAGGAGATGCCCTAGAGCCATATTTCATTGAGGGGATATTATTAAGAAAGATTAGGGGCTTTATTAAAAAATAATTTATTTAAAATGAAAGAAAGTAAGGAAAGGACAGAGGGAGGAAGGGAGGGAGGTGAAAGGTAAAGGGGTTGGGAGGGAGAGGGGGTAAGAGAGGGAAGGAGGAAAGGCCAGAGAAAATGTAGTGGGTGGAGAATGAGACAAAAGTGGGGCACTGGATAGTTGCATTTCCAGAAGAAGTGCATCTGTCCTTTAAAAATAAGGGAGACAGAGACCAAAAGACATAGAACATCTACTTAAGGAATAAAAGTGTCTGGTATGTAGTATGGATTGTTTAAAAAAAAAACTGAAAGAAAATAACTACTTTAAGTAAGTTATTGAAATTCAGGATATCAAAATGGGTATCCTTCCCGCATCTCATTCTCTTACCCATCATTCCTTAAAATTATCTCCTGTGCTGACTATTGTGACATACCACAGTATCTGGCATTCTCCCTGACATGCTGGCTCATTTTGTTCTGATTTCTCTAACACCATCCATTCCCTCAACTAGGGTGCTCTATAGAAATACAGTCTTTAACCTTCCACTTGTCACTTTCCTTCCACTACATACTTTGGTAGATATCCACTATCCAGTATCTTTGGTCCTCATATCCCAATAGACATTTCTTTGCAAATGATTCCAAAAATCCTATTTTCAGTCCTAATCACCATTCTGACTTCCAACTACATTTCAACATCTTCCCGATAGTGAATTCCATTTCTAGCTTACAGTTAGACCTTTTAAAATAAGGGAGACATTAGTATTTTTATTAATAATCTTAAAATTTTGGCATGTTCTTACTGATTAAATTATATATAATGCATCACATATGTTATATATATATTATATATTGTAATTTATCATTATATATTTAATATGTATGTATAATATGTATAATATATGTATATTATATATATATATATAATATACATATAGTGTGTATGTGTTTTTAAGTAAGATATTCATCCTGCTAAATAACTAAAATATATTAGTTGCCTGGCAGGAAAGAGCCTAATAACCTATACTGAAGAGAGAATACTAGTGTTAACTCTCTGTGAGGCAGTATGTCCTTAATTGTTTTTTGTTGTTTTTGTTGTTATGAGGAGATAACCATCTCACGTGAACAACATACAATGATTATGCATGGATGGAATTTAGCACAGTAATCAAATAGAACTTACATCAAAGTTAATCTGATGATACATATTTAATGCTATGCATTATCCACGTGCTGGATGGTAATTAGACACAAATTGTAAACAGCTCCTGTGAGCGGCAAATTGATGTTACTTTTGCATCACTGGAGCAAACGTTTTTGGGATAGGAGAGAGAAAGAAGCAGTAGTGATTCTAGTCTCTTCTCTTGCCTGAGGAAAGCAGTTTCCTTTGGGTTCTGGGAAATCAAATAATTGTTTCAATCCAGGACTTTCCTCCTTACCAAAAGATACTCAGATGTTTGATTCGTTTGGATAAACATAATACTAACTTTAGTAACTCACATGAGTCACTTATCATTTGTGCCTCATACCCAAGTGGCACAATTCCAATCATACGTACTATTAAATTACATGTTAAGTGGTTTTCTACTGCAAGAAGAAGAAAATGATTTTTCATTAAGGAGAGTAAGGAATGATAAGATATTTTAGAGTATCTGGCATTGAGAAGGAAAGCAATCTGGCTTGGAAAAAGTCCTCAGTGGGAAGCTTTCAACAAAAAGGTGGCACAAAAATGGTTGGGCAAAGGATGCAGGGGGTAAACACATGACTATATATATATATATATATATATATATATATATATATATGAGCTAAAGGCTTAGAAAAGGCAATGAAAAGTCTGGGAAAAAAGGAAGAAATGAGACAGGCTCGGGTCAACCCATTCACAGGGAACAGGAAAGAACATGGACACATCAGGTATAACATGCACAAAAGGAGCCTGGGAAGATCTACTCTTTATGATTCTCCATCACTCACCTTCCCAGAGTTTAATCCAAGATTTAGCATAATAATGCAATTTCACAAGCAGTTGCTTTGACTGCATAGTGGATAAAATTAAACCAGCAAATTCAAGAATGTAGACACAATTTAATGACATCTCCAAACTGTAAGCAATATGTTTCTCCCAACTGGACCAGGCTTATCCAATTTAAAGAGAAACAAATAGGTATTGTTTATGCTACAAAATAAAGTGAAACAAAAAAAATCCCAGATAATAAAATTCTAGATATACATTTTAAAAGCTTGTTGAATATTAGAGGGACATTCATAAGTGAGAATCTTTCTCTGGTTCTTACATTCCCTAAAGAGTTCAAAACATGACTTAAAAAATAATCAATGTTTTGAATTTTGCTGGCAAATAGATGCCACAGTAGCATTGTGCATAATTACATTCATTTTTTATTTACCAAGGTATGTGAATGAAAAATCACATAGTTTTAATGAGTAAAATAAATGGCTACATTGATTAATTACTCAAAATATGGTTCCATTTTACTATAATTTGATTATAGAGAAAAGACTAGAAAGCTTTGGAGTCAGAAATTTATTTGCCTTATTGTGCATTAAAATTAAACTATCCAATTAAGAAAAAAGAGGGAGAACTAAACCCCCTTAGGCTTCACTGTTCGTTCATTCTGACTACTGTGCAAAGAACCAAGGAATTTAGATAGGCAAGACAAATGTGATCAGCTCTCCATTTCTACTTAGAGAACTATGGACTTGATACTTGCACAGAAAAGAAAACTTTTTTTTTTTTTGACTGTTCCACAGGGGGATTACTTATCAAAGGATATCTCTTACTAAGATTAACATAAGCATGTCATGATAGTAAAGAACCTACATAAACTCATTAAACCTTACTTTTAAAAAAATTTTTTAACATTTATTTATTTTTGAGAGACAAAGACAAAGTGCAAGCAGGAGAGGGGCAGAGAGGGAGACACAAATCAAAACAAGGCTCCAGGCTCTGAGCTATCAGCACAGAGCCGGATGCATGGCTCAAACCCATAAACCTTGAGATCATGCCTTAAGCCGAAGTTGGTCATTTGACTGAGCAATTTAGGCACCCCTCATTAAACCCTAGTCTTATAGAGGGGCGCCTGGGTGGCTCAGTTGGTTGGACGTCTGACTTCTGCTCAGGTCATGATCTCACTGCTCATGGGTTCAAGCCCACGTAGGGCTCTGTGCTGACAGCTCAGAGCCTGGAGCCTGCTTCGGATTCTGTGTCTCCCCCTCTCTCTGCCCCTCCCATGCTCATGCTCTGTCTCTCTCTGTCTGTCAATAATGAATAAATGTTAAAAAAATTTAAAAAAAAAACCTTAGTCTTACAGAAAATAGATTTATCTATATTTAAAACGTTTACATGAGGTAATCTGTAATGGAAGTCTATATTACGAAATGGAGGAACTTCCATATAGACATAGCCTGCCGAAATGACAGGCACTAGTTCTTTGAGATTTAGAGACAGTCTGAGGGGGGCAAAACTCTCACAGCACAAACTTCTCAGTCTTTTTAAAATCAAGGCAAACTTTATGGCTTAAAAACAAACAACAACAAGAAAAAGCCTACAATGAGTATGCCCTTACTTGTAAAATCTTCACAGTTCTTCCTTCCAGAAATTAAACCAGACAGGACCAGACATACAAATAATTTTAACAATAGGTTAGTCTTGCATAGTCCTTTATTCTACACTGCACTTTATTTGGTTTAATCCTCAGAATGACCCTGTTTCTCATATGTGAAAACAGAGATTTAGCAAGCTAAAATATTTGCTCCTGGAAGGTAGAATAGAATAGAAAGAGTAATAGATTTAGAACCATAAGAGATCTTGTTCAGAATCCCAGCTCTGCTACTCTGCCACTTACCATTTACGTGACATTGAGGAACATCTCAAAGTCTCAGTTTTATTTTCTGTAAAATGAGGATAATAGTATGCACCTCACAGGATTGTTATAGGATTCAATGAGATAAAATATATAAAGTACTTGGCACAATTCCTAGCACATGTTACATGCTTAACAAAGAATAACATTTATCCACTGATCTTAAACAAGGTATTTAACCTCTTGACCTCTCCACTTTTACATCCATAAAATGGTAATAACACTATTTACTTAACAGAGTCATTTTGATGATAAAATATATGCAATTTTATGTACAGTGAATGATAGGCAGAAACAAACCTAGAACTTATATCTTCTATGTTGAATACTTTTAAAAAAATGTTTATTTATTTATTTTGAGAGAGAAAGGGAGAGAGACAAGAGAGAGAGACAGAGAGACAAAGAGACAGACAGAGAGAGAACGTACATGGGGGAGGGCAGAGAGAGGAAGAGAGAGAATCCCAAGCAGGCTCCTCGATGTCAGCACAGAGCCCTGGATCTCATGAACCATCAGATCATGACCTGAGCCAAAATCAAGAGTCAGGACACTTAACCAACTGAGCCCCCAGGTGCCCCAGAATACTCTTACTGGCAACAAAGCTAGATACTCTTGATTCTATTACCAAAATATAGAAGAACATTTTCTCACAACTCCATTGAGAAGATAACAATCTAGAAATACCTGTGAAAATGAATCTTAAAAGGAAAATATCCAAGTTACCTGAATTAAGGCTTCACTCAACATGTCTTCATTAACCTCCAGAATGATGTTTTTTATATCTTCATATGGCATACGATATGATCCTAAGAAGATAGCTAAAATAAAAGTAGATTTTCTTAAAAACAGAATAACATCAAAATTTTAAAGACCTAATGAATACCTGATTCCCATTTTCATTGACTCAAAATATGAAATTTCTGTCACTAATATTAATCTATAGACAGGAACAAACAAAATTAGTTACCATTTGATGGCCTACACTACACATCTAGGCAAAATGGCCCACTATTTCAGGCTCTAATGTTACAGGTTGTGTATATCCTATATACAAATTACAACTCCTACTAATAACACTGATGACTATATGCATATGCATTTTAGATTGAGCTGGTATGAAATGACTCATGAAAAGCTAGAGATTTTATTTAAAGATGGCCTTTTAATCTGACATAGAATTTAATATGGAGATACTCAGATGCATACAACACAGTACTTCTCAGGAACAACAATAAAGTAACCAAGTACAAAAAAAATCACATCAATCTACTCTGAAATGCTCCCACATAAGAAAAAACTGAAGTGTCTGAATCATCATTGTTACCTGAATTTCTGTTGACGATCATGTGGTATACTATTAGTAGATTTAAATGTTGAACCACAATCTCCCTTGTCAACTTTTTCTTAATTGGGTGTATAGTATGTCATACTGTAATAATTCAACAAATTACCCCGAGAAAAGCTTAAACTTATTCAGAAAGTACTTTTCAACAAGGCATTCCACTTTAACTTCCACTAACTGCATATCTGAATGAGAATTCATGCGTTCTTATCACCAGAACATGAATATATTCCTACGAATTGTTTTTCTTTTCTTTTCTTTTTTTTTTTCGTGAAAAGGTCTGTATGATTTCACTGGTGCCTAAAGAAAAAAAAATGTCACTCTCTAGGCAAATGATTTCCTAGACATAAACACCAGGTGAGATTTCAATAATTTAAATAAATAATGTTGACAAATATCAACTAGCAATTAAGGTCATTTTTTTAAAGTACTGAACATCCACTTTATAAAGAAAACGTACTCTCAGGTAGGCAATGTACACATTCACAACAGCTATTAGGAGAATGCTTTTCCGACAGCAACATTCATACTCACAGGAAAATGATGACTTGTTTATTTTAATCTGATTCCCTATAGCACAACCCTTAACAAAATAAACTCCCATGGTATTTCTTTCCATAATTAGAAATGCTTGATATGTTGAAATTTCTCCTGCATAGTGTTTGAATATCCTCAGAATATAAACATAGTCTATCATGGTTAAAAAAAAATGCTGAATTAAACACAGAGGAGAGTATATGACAAAGTTAAACTTAAGGCCTACTTAAACGAAGATGGGTTTAACTGTGCTGCTGCTTGAGCAAAAGCATACTTAATAATTGATTTGTTGATGGCTTTAAGGTTCACTAACCAGTTTTAAAGTGCAGCGGTTACCAATTTAACCAGTAACATCACAGTTACTTCAACTATAAAGGCATAGTAATAAAAGGATTTGCCCAATGGGCCCAGTGAATACTCCAAAACTATCACACCCAGGCCTGGGCAGAAAGGGAAAATATAACACTCTTTTTAAGTCTTTCTGTCTCACCCTGTCTTCTAACAGTGTTCAATTATCAATACTTTCCAAAGCTTTATTATTCATAAGTTTCATCTGGTCTATGTAAGGCTAAATTATGATGAGGGTCTCCATTCTGGCTGAATGACAACAAGGCAACTCAAATCATGTTTACACAGAATTTAGTTTCTAGTAGATGCTAAATATACATTTTCAAGGCAGTTACAACTTTGTTTGTTTAAATATATTCAACAACTCCTCATCACCACCATCGCTACCACCACCTATACACAAAATATCACATACACAGATTCTGGGCCGTTTTGGGATCCAAAATTCTCAATTCTTTCACTTTCTTCTTTGCAGGCAGGGTCTTCTTTTCTTCTGAAGCTTCTACATTCTTTGGAACTAAAGGAAAAATATTGATTCATAAACAACAATGGCACTAATCCAAATACACAGAATAAATTAGTAAGGCATATTAAGTACATTAATAAAGCTTATGCCAAAAAAATCAATAAATGTGTTTATTTCATTAGTTCAAAGAAGAGGATAAACATAATAATACAGACCTATTTAAAGGTTTCCCCACAAATTAAATATTAGCACTTAAGCAGAAAAGATAAGCGAAATAGAGCCAAAAATCAACTGCTACTTCTTCCCTAATATATAACACTAATTACTCCTTTACCATGTACCTACAGCAGCACTGGAATTAAATACATAGTAAGATCTCCCTAATTTGGACTAATTGAGGAGAAAGGCAGACATGCATTTATACTAAATTATGCTAAAATTTAGACATGTCTTTAATTCAGTGGAACTGCTTTGAAGTATCTAAAGTAATTTTAACTGCACACAGGTTGCCATATAAAAATTCCTGCTGAGATTGCTTTGAAGAACGAATATGAACCATTTTCAAGTTGTACAACAACAGCACCATTTGCACACACATAATTAATGAATCTCAAAGACATGGTGTTTGAATAAGTTATCTTTGTCTCCAATATTTTTTTAGTACTATTTGCCTTCTTAGAACAAAATATTTAGTTACAGTTTATTCAAAAGGTAACCCTCCAGTTTTGAACAGTTCAAATGACCTGAAACTTAACAAGTAACAGTGCCAAGGAGTGGCTTTAGCACCCCCCCACCATAACCTCCATTAGCTCTATCCCAGACAAGCCATCACAAAAACCAAAGTAAAAAAAACAATGTGGCTATCTGCTACGAAAATGAAGCAAATCCCTAAAGGCGTCTTAGACAGAAATTCCACACCTACAATTGTATGCATATTTTGGCAGCATACCTCTTCTAATAAAAAAAAAATAGGGCTGTAGGTAAGGGGAGCATTAAAAATACGACAATATATATATATATATATGCTTTTGTCTCTAAACTCACGCTGCTAAACTTCATCATTGATTCACATGGCCATAATAATGCTGTTCATTACTTTCAAAAATACAATTTCATTTTGAGGAAATCATTTTTATCACTTTAATTTATCTGATTTTCACAAAAGAGATCACAAATGAGTTCCTGATTATATTTATAGGAAACGCAACACAAAACCACAGGATATTTTTGCTAAGCTACGTGTTCATAGATGTTAGCTTCTGGAAAATTTTCTATAAATGTGACAGAATACATAAAATTTTGTAAGTCCATTAACATTCCCTTTGTTTTAATGGTGTAAAATATGAGAAAATTAAATGAACTTCCTACAAAAATAATATCAAATTAATTACATGAATAAATAAAGTTGTAGCATTTAGTTCTAAGCTTTTTTTTTAATATATGAAATTTATTCTCAAATTGGTTTCCAT